CACCAATACTTCCTGTACCTACAAACCTGATGTCATGTAAGATATATTTAATTAAAATTATGACTAGTGAGAACAAAAATCAAGATATCTCAAATTTACTGTATGACTAGTCATAATTTAATTGTTGATATCTGAAATGCATGTTTGTCAGTAAGTTATTGCATATTTCTTGAATTAGAGCCTCCGGACAGTTTAAGTGAATCTGACATCATTTATAATGTTCAGATTGTAATTACAGATATTATAGGTGTTTATATAAATATAAATACGTATTTGTTTAGTAAAAATACAGTTAGAGATAGCTTTGTTACTAATATGCCTAGTCATAAACCTATTTCAGATATCAGCCGTTTTTATGTCACAGTGGCCTGCCATACCTGTCTGTGTTTGGCACAACTGCCGGTGCTGAAATGATGTTTAAGAAGAGGGCTTAAACTTTTAGTGTCCTTCATTTTTATACACTCAGAATGTTCTATCAAGTGAAGTTTTATCAGATTTGATGTGTTCCCGCTGCGAGTCAGCACCTTTTACAGCAGACTGAAAGCAGGAGTTTATCAGACCTTCGATACCCGAACCACTTCTACACCACTGAGTTACAGTAGTCATGTGAACACTTGTTCACCCACTGCTGTTGAGCTCATTTTGGAGCTGATATCCACAGTGTTATAAGTATTTTATTGTTAGTGTAGTGTAAACAGTGGTAGCGCTGAGTGAGCACTGCTGTTGAGTCTGTGGTGTATGTTATCATGTGTCCTATACTGTGTATGGATCAGTTTTTTTAAGTTGTATCACTGCAATGAAAGGTTTTTTATTGTCTCCAGATGTATAATATTGATTTATTGTCCAGCACTACTTTCATTTTTGTTTGACAGGCAACAGCCCAGATGGAGGGGCGACTGCTTGATATTATTTCTGAGTATTCTCCAGACACGGCTCTCCCTCTGGCTGATGGAGTCCTGGGATTTATTCAACACCAGCTAGTGGAGCTTGTCAGAGACTGTCTGGACAAGTCCCAGAATGGCCTGGTCACCTCCAGCTACTTTGTGGAGCTTCAGGAGAAACTAGAGAAACTGCTGCATGAGGTGGGTTTTTTTGCCGTTTTACATTTTAGAACCTACACAGTAAATTTTTGCAGTGTTAAATCAACACTTAAAGAGTTAAATTTAACACAGTGTCCGAGTCCATTTGGTCATATCTGAATTGGAGTCAATTTAACTCTTTCCATAGAGTTAAATTTTCAGAGTACAATTTAACTCTAAACAGTAGGGGTGTAACGATTCGTTTTAACAACGATTCGATTCGTATCACGATTCACGACTGCCGATATGATTCAAGGACCATCTTGGTTCATTTAAAACAATCTGATCCGAAACGATTCAGTGACTTAAAATCGATTCAGTAACTTTTTAGCTAAAAATTCAACCAGTGTGACTGTGAAATAAATACCATGATACTGGATAATGCAAATTAAGTTTTACAGATTCCTGTTGTTTCTTGTAAGGGAATCAACCATAAATTGATAATAGATACAGAAAAATAATCAAACAACAATTAATAGCAAAAGTATTCACATTTTGTATCAATGATAACAATGCAGTAAGTTTTTTCCCTTAATTTCCTAAGCACAGATTAGGAAATAAATAGTCTAAGTAGCAGTGTGTGCCACATCCAATCTTTTCAGTTCAACGGCCAAATGAAAGAAAGTCCAAGAGGGTTTGAATGTCAGGGGGAAGACTTTATAGTTTATGGAGGAGAGGCCGTGAGCAACAAAGTTGCAAAAAGGACTAGAATTCAAAAGTTGTGGCTGTGAAGCCTCCAACCGGCCCAACCAGAGCAGGTGATGTTCAACAGGTGAGTTCTGGACTGAAACACTTCAGGCTTCCTTGCCTTAGCAGTAGGTTCCTAGCTCGCCATCTGTACCTGGCCTATATGAAAACAGGACCAGTATAAATTCATGTGAACATCACTACAAATCATTAATACAAAATCACATTAATTCATCCAAAATAGTTCAGTATTATACAATAACTGGTTCAAAAGACTAAACCTTCCTTAAATAATTAGGTCACGTCATCATTCACGACTAATCAATACTATCAAAATAGATTTCCAATAAATAACWATACATGACATTCATACAAATACATGGCATCACAAACAAATCCAAACAGTCAATTAACATTCAAAGTTGAACTTCAAAATGACTCAAAATGCATCCAAGAAAAAGAGATTCATACAAATAAAACACTGGTCGATAATACCATTTCATCTTGTTAAAAATATTTAGAGAAACTGCCTTTAATATCCAAAGCTAACCGCTCTATTTAAAATAGATGGAATCGGCTAGGCTAACTACTCAGTGGAAACAAATGTGGTGTTAAGCTAATGTTAGCGCACTTACCAACTCCGTGGTTTCTACAAGAAATCACCTGCTCCTTCCAACRCAGTCCAGCCTCAGTAGACGGCTCCTGTGTTCCGACAACATATATTTTAAGTACAGACCTTGATTTAAAAGAATGAGCGAGTATTTAACTTAAACATACCTCCAGCAAACTTTTTCTCAGCACTTCCCTAGCGTCTCGCAACGTCAGTCACTTCCGGTTAATATAACACACCGATTCGATGCCCACTGTCACATGACAATGTGACGTGGCAAATAAACAGCGTCAGACGCAAAAGTTATATTTTCTTTTATAACGGGAGGAAACTAAGCACATTTTTTCTTTATTACACCCAGGTTACGCATAGTATCGACATAATCGACTATTTACATTTTAAAACAATTTTAGATCAATAAATGTCATCCGGAAGGCCAACTTGTCGAGCACAGATCGATGTAGTTGGATTGTAGGAAAAAAAATCGATGCATCGATGTAATAGATGAATCCTTACACCCATACCAAACAGAGTTAAAAATTAACTCTGACTAACACTGTACAGTGTTAATAAAATTTAACACTGTACAGTGTTAAAAAAACTTAACACTTCAAGTCAAATAAGTCAGAGTAATTCTGATTCTAAGCAGAGTTAATAAGGTACTCCACTGTGGTGACAACTCAGTGCTGATTCTCATGCTTTTCAACACTGCATTGAGTTATTGATAGTTAACACTGGAGGTTCATATACCTCCTATGAGTGTAAATTTGACACTCGACTGTTGATTATTTACTCTTTTGCTCTGTAGAGTGGTGTAAAACACACAATATGAGCTGTCATTATACAACAAATCGGAAAGTGTAAGTTTAACACTTCAGTGTTAAGATCAACTCTTTTAGTGATGCATTAACATTACACAGTAATTTCTGGACAAATGTAATGGAGTRGACCTTCACACWCCAGGAAGTACCTCTCACTCATGGTGTTTTTGGKCAATAACACAAACTGAAACTTGAACAACTGATAAAACTGAACAAGACAACTAACCAGAACAACTCATTTTTACTCTCATGAACTGCTTTAATAGTCATAAACATACAAACACATCATTTCTACAAGATTACCCAGCATTGATTGATTGATTGATTGATTGATTGATGCCTTTATTGTCATTGTACAGAGCACAATGAAATTACATTTAAGAACACCCATTCAAGAAGACACACACATGACAAAAAAACATGGGGGAAACACTGGTTCTGTTCAGTATCACCCAGCGTGTTACGCAGAGCGATGCTAGCTCTGTGTTTATTGTTGTTTTAAAGTCCTCAAAACCCGTTGGACTGCTCGTACATCTGCTAGAATCACCGCCATTTCATTTTCCAGAACTGCTCTAACCTCCGTTTTKATCATGGAAATGAAATCCGCCTGTAATGACAGCAACAGATCCCTTTTGTCTTGTGTCTTTAGCTCATCCAGAGTGTTGGGTCTTGTGTCTTTAGCTCATCCAGAGTGTTGGGTCTTGTGTC